AAGCCCCGCCCCTTCGCCCCATAGCATTTAAGCTGCCCCTCGTGACTTTTGAGTGCCTCCCACCTCTAAAGCATTCGTTTAAATCAGTGGTTGTCAAGCATAGTTGGGAGGCCAGCAGCATCCGGCTGCCTGCTGAGACCATGCAGAATAGAAGCCCTAGGGTTGGGGGTCTAGGGATCCGTGTTTTGAAATATACTCTAGCTGATTCTGCTGCATGCTGGTCAAGAGCCATGGCTTTACCACACTTGACACTGCCCCGTTCATATAATCTCTGTAATTAATCCCCGCTCCCAACTCAGCCCCATCCCAAGCAGCCAAACCCCAGGCCCATTCAGCCCCTCCTGCTAAGCTTCCCCTCTCCCAGGAGCTTCCCTTAGTTACGCCTCTCTTAGGTACTTCCTTCTCTCCCCACCGTCTCTATAGCAGTCGTGCGCCCCCGTCAGCACCTTCTCCTAAGTCCCACCTCTAATACCCTGTTACCTCAAAGTTTCTGCTTTAAGCCTCGGCCCCGGGCCCTGAAGCATGCCCACCTCAGAGCTGAATTATTATAAGCTCCGCCCCTCACCTTAAAATCCGTTCTCTTGGCCTGGTGTGGTGGCTCACGCCTGTAATCCCAGCACTCTGGGAGGCCAAGGCAGGCAGACTGCTTGAGCACAGGAGTTCAAGACCAGCCTGGGCAATATGGCAAAACCGCGTCTCTACAAAAAAAAAAATGCAAAAATTAGGCCCGACGCGGTGGCTCACGCCTGTAGTCCCAGCACTTTGGGAGGCCGAGGCGGGTGGATCACGAGGTCAGGAGTTCAAGACCAGCCTGGCCAAGATGGTGAAACCCCGTCTCCACTAAAAGTACAAAAATTAGCCAGGCGTGATGGCGGGCGCCTGTAATTCCAGCTACTCGGGAGGCTGAGGGAGAGAATTGCTTGAACCTGGGAGGCAGAGGTTGCAGTGAGCCAGATCGCACCACTGCACTCCAGCCTGGACGACAGCAAGACTCCGTCTCAAAAAAAAAAAACAAAACAAAACAAAAAACAAAAAAAAAAAAAGCTAAATATGCTGGCGCGCGCCTGTAGTCTCAGCTACTCCGTAGGCTGAAGTGGGAGGGTCGCTTGAGCCTGGCAGGTCGAGGCTGCAGTGAGCGGTGATCGGGCCACTGCACTCCAGCCTGGGTGACAGAGCGAGACCCTGTTTCAAAAAAAAAAAACATAATCCGTCCTCTTCGCCCCACTCTCACGCAGTTCCTCTTGTTCTTCCCCAGCTCCAAGCCCCTACTCTCTAGAAGATCAACTCTATCCATTCTCTTTAAACCGCTCTCACTTTATGCGGACCAACCCCTAAACCTCTTTAAGCCCCACTCAACTCTAACCCTCTCCTAAGCTCCCCGCCAGTTCCCCGCCTAACTGCCCCACCCCTGGCTCCTTAGCCCCGCCCCAAGCCACACCCCTTATCTCTAACCCTTACCCAGACCGTCAGTCCTGTTCACACCTTTGTCTTAATTTTTCCTTCCAAACAGTAGTTCCTCAGGACAAGGAGGTGGGGCAAAATGGCTGCAGAATTTCCGGGACTTGCCTAGGATCGAGGCGGTCGGACCTAGGGTCAGTTTGCGTGGAAGGTTCAATGTTTTAGTTAGATTGGATGTGTACTGGGAATACAGCTGACCCTTGAACAACACGGGTTTGAACTGCAGGTCCCCTGAGAAGCGGACTTTCTTTCACCCAAACACCGATGGAACACACAGTATACGGAGGGAGGATTTTCCCATATCCGCGGGTTCCGCAGGGCCCAGTGCTGGACTTGAGTATGCTCGGATCTTGGTATCTGCGGGGTTCCTGGAACCAATTCCCCACGGACACCGAGGGACCACTGGACTTTGGGGGCTGATGGAGACGGGGAAGGAGCCAAGGTTTCCCCCAAAACCATTCTTTCGCGAGCACCACACTCATGAGGCACAGGAAGTGGGGTCTTCTCCAATTCCCCGCACTCCCGGCAGGTGTAGCCGAGGAAGAACATTTGAAGGCAGGAGAGGATGGCATCCCGGCACGGAACACACATAGGCAGCCAGCAGGCAGAGATTTATTTCCACAACCCCTGCCTCCAAGGATCTGTTAGTCTGGGGGAGGGGGGCTGAAGGCAGCTGGACCCAGAAGTTTAGGTCTCCACCCTCCACCTGCTCCCACAACGGGAAGACCACCAGAAACAAGGGTGTCCCGGCCCCCTGGCCCAGGCCCAGCACCAGCCAAACTCCCTGCTCTAAACCTGGCCCAGGGAGTGATGGCCAGAGATGTGGGTCAGGCCGGCTCCCCCTTCCCCTCTGTCTCCTCCTCCTCCTCGGCCCCTGCTGTGGCCGGGATGCCCTCCTCGTCCCACGGCGGTTCAGACCCTGGATCTGGTGCACACAGGGGTACCCCCATGGCCTCTGGGTGCTTGCGCTTGGCATGGCGCCGGAGCGTGTTGGCCTCTGTAAAGCGCAGCCGGCAGATGGGGCACTGGTACGGGCGCTCTCCCGAGTGCACGCGGTGGTGGTGCGCCAGCTCGCCCGCCTCGCGGAAGCGGCGGGGGCACAGCGGGCAGCGGAAGGGCCGCAGGCCGGCATGGATGTTGCAGTGCCGCCGCAGGTGGCTGGAGCGCTTGAAGGTCTTGCCGCAAACCTTGCACTGGTGTGGCTTCAGCTCTGAGTGCGAGATACTGTGGCGCTCCAGGTCGGAGAGGTAGGGGAAGGCCCGCAGGCACACTGGGCAGAAGTGTGGGGCCTTCCTGGGGCCGGAGCCCTGAGGCCCGGCCGCTGACCCTTCAGAGACTGTATAGGGCACACCCTGATCATCGATCAGGAGGAGGTCGTTGCCGCCACTGCTGCCTACTGGGGCTGCCACGCCCTGCACCTGCACCAGTGGGGGCTCCTGCCCTGACTTGGGGGGGCGGCCCCGCTTGCGAGGGAGGGAGGAGGCCTTGAGTGTCCGATGAGAGGAGGCGGCTCCCCCAGGACGACGGCCTCGGCGGCCCCGGGGAACAGGAGGAGGTAAGGCCAGAGGTTTCGCTTCCTCCCCGGGCAAAGGCGAAGGCAACGGGTCTGGGCTGGGGGTGTCCATTGAGCAGTGGGGGGCTTGGGTCTGGGCACTGGAGCCAGCTAAGAGGAGAGAGGGGCAGAGTCAGTGCTCACAGGGTCTAGAGCACCCCTGTGTCCCCCAACACCTCGCCCATCCCTCTCTCCAAGTCTCTTGACAAGGGTGTGGTTGACATTCATCCAGATACACAATTTTAGCTATGCTGGTGGGTAAAACAGTGAGATGATCTTGTATCAGCTGATAAACAGGCACTTCCCTGGGCTCCACCGGGCATCCCTATGTCTCCCTAACTGTCCTCCTGGATCTAGAAGTTCAAGATCAACATAAGCTCCCCCCGCCAAAAAAGAAAAAAAAAACCTAAAACAAAAAACCTCCTAGAGAGAACAGAGTCCAACTGAGAGCGCAGACCAGTATTGCGATCCTTGCAACGGAGAGCCCATCAAACTCCAGAGCCCCAGAGGCCTCACGAATGCTCTCCTCCCTCCCTGCTGACTGGCAGAAGTGGGGAAGGGGTTCCGGAATGGAAAAAAGGGGCTGGTCCCAGGTGATATTTGACCCTGACTCCTGGATGAGGAAATATATCCGCGATGTTAAGAGCCTGGGCCCTGGAGTCAGACATCATTCGTTCAAATCTTTACTCTCTGCGTGGCCTTGGGCAAGGTGTTCACTTCTCTAAGCCTTAATCGAGACTTTTGCAAAATGGGACACTCAGTTCTATGCACTTGCCCAGACATGCCATGAGTATAATACCCACAAAGTGTTCATACAGAGAAGCTTTCAGGACACATTCGCCATTGTTATCAGGAGCAGCTAAGCCTCACATCAACCCTCTGAATAGGGCATATCTGTCCTATTTTGCAGATGGGGAAACTGAGGCACAGGAACGCCAAGTCAGTTGCCTAAGTTCCTCTGCCAGTAAATGGCAGGGCCAAAACTGGAAACAGGTCTTGCTGACCCGAATGTCCCAGAGAATGGAGAACAAATAGACCCAAGGAGGAAAGGGGACATTATGAGGGCTCAGTCCTGGGTTTGAATTCAGCTCTGCCTATACCTAACAAGTGACTTTGCCTCTCTGAGCCTCTTTCCTCCTCTGAAAAGTGGATATACCAGGGTTGTCAGAAGAATCAAATGAGATAGTGGGCTTTAAAATGCCCCTCGCACACTGCCTGGTGCATAGTAAGCACTCAATAAACTTCACCAGCGCCACCACCATCTTCCCAGCGCCCACTCAGATACTGGGAGCATGAGACTGGGATGTAACGGAGGAGAAGGGGAGAGACAGGTGCAGTGGGAAGCCCCCTGCACCCCCCGCTTTAACAGCCACATAGACTGCGGTCCAGAGAGGAGCAACCACCTTTCCATA